GCCAGGAACCTGCCTGACACCTTCAATGAAGCCAAGTTCCTGACCTTCAGCATGCTGGTGTTCTGCAGTGTCTGGCTCACCTTCCTCCCTGTGTACCACAGCACCAAGGGCAAGGTCATGGTGGCCGTGGAGGTCTTCTCCATCCTGGCCTCCAGTGTAGGGCTCCTGGGCTGCATCTTTGTCCCCAAGTGCTATGTTGTTTTACTAAGGCCACATAGGAGCTCTCTACGTGGGTCCAGAGAGAAACTTCATTGTGGGAGTAACAAGCCTTTTTGAGTATTAACTCACATTTGCTAACATTAACAAGTGGCCTTGAGAAAATTCTACTCAAATCTAAGAGTCTGATTTCAAGTTACAATGTGGGATTTCCTTCAAAGTCCAGAGACTCTCTCCTAATGCTACAGTCACTATGAAATACAGCCGTCAACTTTTCAATTTTTAATCTAACAGCATTTTTTCATTTCCTCCAATTAATTCTTCTCTTACTGCTTAATCATGTGTAGTATTCACCTGGGTGTAGTATTCATCTTTACGTGTCTCCCACTTGGATTTTTTATATATTGTCTTGATTTGCATCATTGATATCCATAAAAATCCCTTTTCTTCATCTAGCCATAATTACCCAATGATTCAAGAGCATTTATAAAGCCTTCTTTCAGACTTTGGGTAATTTGAAATGTTCCTTTTTAATACACCAAATTCCTATATGAATATCACCGTGTTTTGGGACCCCTTGATATGTTACATTAATTTAACCCATGTTTTGTATATAGAGAAACCATACTATTGCTAATCAAACTAAATTTGGCCCTAGGGGACCTCCATACAGAGTACCTAACATGATAAACTGCAACCTAGCTTAGTAGTCAGCCTAAGGTAGAGTGTACTGCTTTGTAGATTTGGCTGATGATCATCAGCCAATCAGCAGCCAAGCCCCTGGGCGGTCACTATTCAAACTTCACTGAAAAAAGGCAAATGCATATACTGATATATCTGATTGTTTTGTACAGGAATTTATGATATGGAAAGATTTGCTTTGATAGATGTCTAAATTTACACTGCATTTCCTTGCGTCTACTCTGCCCCTAGAAGCCCACCTTCCTTCACCTTTTGTTAATTGGTGGGTGGGCCTCCACGCCAAGCACTTACTGGAGTTAGACCTTAGGTCCGTCTTCCAGCCATTCCTCCAGGATTTCTTACCCTGTCACCTCTTACCCTGTATCTAACTGTTTCCTCATTGCTTTCTGTGACACCCCCATGTTGCAGAAACATAAAGGCCCTTACAAAGTGCGCCTTTTCTCCTGTTCATGCGTCATTCTCAGTTGATTTCTCAGGCCCCAGCCTAGGATACGGGATGGAGGGAAACTTGTTTTCTCCTCTAAATACATTGTGAACATAGTAGCCCAGGGTCTGTCTTTGGGAAACCTGTGGACACACAACAATTTGATTTCAAGTGGGCATTGAAGGAAAAGATAGCGTGCAGTATTAGAAGTTTCCTTCTGTTCTCTCCAAGGTGGTTTGTGCAGCTAAGGGGGAAGAGTCTCCCTGTGGTGGGAGAATCACACCAGCGACTTAATGATGAGGTTAGGTCCTAGGAGCAGGAAGGGCCAAGGTGAAGAGGTAGAAAGAAGAGCATCAGGGCTGGGATATGGCTCAGTTGGTAGAGGGGTTGTCTTGCATGCACAAGGCCTGGGGTTCAATCCCCAGCACCACAAAAATAAAAAAAAAAGAAAGAAAGAAAGAAAGAAAGAAAAGCATCACCAGCAGGAGAACATCCTAAGGAAAGGTCCTGAGGCTGGGCTCAGCTTTGAAGTGTGTGTGAGGGAGGCAGAGGGCTGTAACCTACGGAGGGGAGAGAGGATATGAGAAGAGGTAAGTGGGGCACAGGTTTACCGATCATCGTGAATTTTATTCTAAAAGCAAAGGAAGTCATCGGCAAATTGACAACAGAGAGAGTGGAAGTGGTTCTCAAAAATGGCCTCACTCACTGTATTTGAGTTTTAATGGACTTGGGCAAAAAAATATATATATATATGTGTGTGTGACATAAAATCTCTCTTGAATGAAACCTGAAAGTTTTTAGTTTAAAGATTACTAAAACAGGCAACACTGGAGATTAATTTCAGTAGCATGGTAAATACTATAGATGGGTGGACGTCAGTTGCTCTGGTTGGGGTGCGGTTCTTCTCCCAAGGTTCGTGTCTTGGAGGCGTGGTTCTCAGTGTGGCGGTGTTGAGATGGTGGGACCTCAGGAGGTGGGACCCAGGGGAGTTTGTCACTGGCCCTCCCCTCACCCTGGCCTCCTGTCCTACCATGGTCTCTGTCCCTCCCATGCATTACCACCACTGTGATGGCATCCACCATGAGATGATGTAGCCAAAGGGACCTAGCCAGAGCCCGTGCAATGCTGGTTGGACTGTCACACTCCAGAACTGTTAGGTAAATAAACCTCTTTTCTTTATAAGTACCCAGTTTCAGGTATTTCATTATAGTAACAGAAAACTGACTAAAACATCAGTGTATATATACCCAAAGAATGAGTATAACTAGCTGGATATGCTCAGTAAATGTTCAAAGAATAAGAAACTAGAGAGGCAATAACAGCAGAACTGAGTCAAGTCCTCGGAGACATGGTACATGGGAGCAAGTATATTTTAAAGACAAGGGAGGATGGAAAGCACTTGATTTCAGCAGGAGGCTACAAAAACCGAGCAACCCAGAGTCAGTCTTGTAAAATTATAAAGACAGAAATGACAGGGGCACAGTGGCAGAATGCTTCTGAGTGATGATCTTTACCTGGTTTGGTCAAGTTGCTGACGTAAACACTCTTACCTGTCTTTTGCAAGGTGATACCTGTGTTTTCAACTCTTTAGGTTGTCAAGAGAAGAGTACTTGCTTGAAATTTTACCAAAGAACTCTTTTCTTGGATTTTTGATGAAAATAATAGCTGTAGAAAAATGTGTCTGGCTTTAAGAAAAATGCAAGTGAGGACTTTGACATAAGAAATGCAAAGATATACATATTCGGGTTGTCAAACATGTCATGAACTAAAATTCTTGACATTAAGAACTATATGCCCCTAATATATAACTCATTAGAATAATTAGAAAATAAATTTTTAAAAAATAACTTTATGCCCCAGTGTGCACGTTAAGTCTTCTGTTTTAGGGGAGAAGAGTCAGGGTATAGTGAGTTATTACAAAGATTTTTCTGAAAGGGATTAAAAATTTCAAGAAAAAAAACAGTGTTCACATATTAATTATTGTCACTAGCCAATCTCCCAGAGTGACCCAATAGCTTAGTCATCCTCTCTAAATAACTATTGAAATAACTAACAAGAATGTCACATAAAGCCATATCCGTTGCTTACTGCAGGTCTTCTCCACGTTGGGTGGTATGAGCCTTCAGGGAAATAGGTTGCTTTACAAAAGGGAAGTGCACTGTGCCCCGCGGTGAGCAGAACGGCCCCCTCAAGTTATGCGTGTCCTAGTCCCAGGAACTTAGGAATACGGTACCTTCCTTCTGATTCCGTGGCCCCTCAGGAAGCCACCGGACCCTCTCACAGCCTGGCCTACAGTGATCATCAAATAGGGGGAAAGGGAACTGTCCTGAGAATGTCAACCTCCTTTCTGTCCGTCCCTCTGCTGGTGCGCTGAGGGAGTGAGTGGGGAACCCCATCTGGTCCACACTGCAGGTCGTGCGCTAAGAGGTTGCTAAAGTGGATCGTGTAGATAGTGAGAGACAGAAACGAGAGGAACAGGAAGGCGGGTGGCCTGTGGAGGAGGGTGACAGAGGGCAGAGAGCGCGTGGAGGAGATTAGCCTTGCCAATGACCAGCGGCCAGACCCAAGGAGGGGGTGAGAGGACTGGATGGTTCACATCACCTGCCACCAGGAGACAGTGGCCAGGTCTCCTGCAGGACACTGATGGCAGCGACCAACCCGAATAGTTCCATTATGGGCACAACAGGGGGGAGACCCAGCCACCAGGAGCGACCCAGAAGGAAAAGGCGGGCAAGGGCTGGGAACGTCAGTGAGACAGAATCACCAGCCTGTCCTCTCTGGGGGGTGGTTTGTCCCTCCTGCGGGATTTGCGGCCTTTCTTTGCAATGACAGGTGAACTGCTCAGAGCCAGAATAGATGTGGGGGGAACGATCATGAAGGACCCTTAGCACGGTCGTGGTGAAGACGCAGCTGCTGAAGAAGGCAGTCACCATCGGTGTAAGGGGGACAGACGAACGTGTGCCTGTTCCCTGATAGAGCTCCTCCGATGGGACCTTCACAACTCGTGGAACTGTATCTTTCAAATTAGGCGAAGTTCACACAGAAAATTCAGCCCTTGTAGCTGCAGAGCTCGAGGGTGTCAAGCACACTGCAGGCGTGGCCATCACCGCACCTGTCCCCAGAGCCTCTCCTCTGCACCCCGAGTCTCTCTGAGTCTTCTCACTTTCCATGTTTCAAAGGCACATGATTTGAAGGTTGAGCCTCATTTGCTGGTGGCTCCTAGTGAATCATTCCCCCCATGAAGGATGGTTCTCATGGGTGTGTGTAAATCTGTATTTAAAAACGCTCAGAAACTGGCAGCTGGAAGTGTGGCTCCGCAGCTTTTCCTGTGATGGACCCGACGTGAAGGTGGTTGGCTGGGTTCTCGGGGACCACGGCTCAGCCCCACGGCTACGGGACCAAAGCAGCCACCGGCGACGGGCATGGCCAAGAGCTTCATGTGGGCCCTGAAATTTAAGTTTAAATGCCACTCACACCTTACTAAGTATTTTTCTTGTGAAGTTGTTTCCTGTGATGAGGTCTCAGCCTCCTACTGCACTGGGAGGGACCCCAGCTCACGATAAGCTGTCACGTGTTTTATGCACACCTGGAGGAGTGGAGCAGGCTCCAACAGAGGGACGGTTAGGAGACGGAGACGCGAACGACCCGACTCGGTCAGCACATATCACAAACGTGTGTGGAAATATCACACTCAAGTATGTACGGTCTTACATATTAACCAACTTCATAACGTTTAAGGGGGTGGAACGCTGTTACTCTGATCTTATCGTCACACCCTGCATACGTGTGTATAAAACGTATCCGACTGTACCTCAGGAGCACATGCTGTTAAAATGACAATAAAAAAAATCATAAAGCCAGGCATGGTGGTATGCACCTGTCATCCAGCTACTCAGCTGGGTCAGGTGGGTCCCTGGAGCCCAGGGATGAGAGACCAGCCAGGGAAACACGGCAAGATCCCATCTCAGAAAATAAAATCACAAATGCAAACCACTCTGACTGCAAGGGCTCTAGAAAAACAGACAGTCGACCGCAGTTTACTAGCTCTGGATCTAAAGGAATCCAGAGAAAACAGGAGAAATCTCTATGTAAAGGTAACACAGAGGTGGCTGCCACACTGTCACCTGCTGTAGGAGATGTGTCCTTCTCCCTCCTGGTTTCTGTCAGCACCTGGGGTAGGTGCAGGTGCTCAGTAACTGCCGTGGTTCAGACGAGGGTCTCCCAGGGCCCACAGATGGAGGGTGGTCGCCAGCCTGAGGAGCTCTGGGAGTTGGTGGGGCCTCCGGAGGCCTGGGGGAGAAGTTAGGTCCCGGGGACATTGGGACCCTGCCACTCCTTTCCTCTCCCTTCTACTTCCTGGCACCACGTGGTGAGCAGCACCCTCCACCACCTGCTCTTGCCAAGATGGGAGCCTCATCCCAGGTCCAGAAGCCACAGGGCCAATGGAACCTGGACCAAGACTTCCGGAACCAGAGGTTGAGCGAACCTTTCCTCTTTATACTTATTTATTAGCACAAAGGAAAGGCAGCCAACAGGAGCATTAACCCTCTCCATCCACCCGGCCCCACCCCACTCCCCTCCACACACATGTGCAGGTTCTTGGACCTGGAAAATCCATGTTGCAGATCCCATGTGGGATAAATTCCTATAAATACAACTTATGTTTGAGCATTTAACCATCCAAGCCCTTTTGCTCTCAAAATCCCTAGGATTATCAAATTAAAGGTGAAATTCACCTGAGGGTAAAAACATTAAGTGCTAACATTCGTATAAATATGGCCAATTTATACAGTCAAATAAAAGGCACTAGAAGACCATCAGCAAGTGTCCCCTGGGGAGCAAACCACCTCCCATTGAGGACCCTCTTTAACTGTAATTCCTGTTCCCAGAGAAATTAAACATTGTGTCTAGTGTCTAGAAATAAAGAAAAGTCGTAAAAGTATTGTACCTGCCTATTTCAACACGCACTTAGAAGTCCAGATCTGCCGCTCTAGTGGAATAAAATGTAAGTTTCCTTGAACCAAAATTTTTTAAAAAGCCTTTTAAGACTCATCACACACGAAAAACTCAATTCTCTTATCCACAGCTCTGACAACAGGCAGGAAACTGTACAATCTTATTTGCTACTTTGCTAAGAGCCTCAGGGTTTCCAGAGGGCAGAATTTCCACAGTTGGGCCCAGTGTCTGGCTCACACTCTGTAAGAAACACACGATTCCACAGGGTGTCACCCACTCATTGTTCCCCTTGAAGAACCTTCTTGTCCCCTCATTGCACACGGCACCCAAAGGTAAAGGCCAGGCAAGTGGAGAGAACATTGCTAACTTTGAGATGCTGTAACCAAACCAGCAGCCACAACACCAGCCCTGTGTGCTTAATAAAACTTTAATAAGTAAACTGAAGCCAAGCCACAGAAGGAGACCTGGAATCCCAACCTGTGCACTCAGTGGCGAGCTCGTGGGGGGCAGGTACGAGCCATGGTTGAGCAGGGACACTTCAGGTCTAGAATGAGATCTGCCGGGGGTGGGGGCAGTTGCCATTCCCGCCTTCGCATTGTCTTGGTGGCACTCAGAAATTACCTTGAAATGGTCTCCTGACACTGGCCGGCCTGTTGGAGCACACACACGAACATCAGTCTTTCCTACTTCTCGGTTCACGAGCCACTCAGCTTCACTTCTTGGTAGAACCGCAATCACCACGCTCCCTGTCGGAGTCACCCAGAGACACCTACCACCAGCCTCTGTGCTTGCTGGGGAGTTAGGTGACTCGGGTGAACTGGCCACCCCAGCTTTCCATGATAAAGAATCTCTCCTGTCCCAGTCTGGTTTGTCTTTAAAGAAAAGGGGGACAATAGAACAACACGTCCCCGAGTGCCACCTTTCCATTCCCCAGAACCAGCCGAGCCAAGGGAACAGAGGAGCAGGCTGGGCAGGAAGCGCAGCAGGTGTCTTCCTGAGGGCCCTGGCATCTCTCAAGCACACTGGGACCAGGACAAGCGAATGTCATCTGCAGAAAGGTGCTTTTCACACCTACGCCAGGGCCGCTGCTCCCTGGGACGCGGCTTATCCAAGCAGACTGAGTGCATGATGCTCGGAGAAGCGACTGGGGCAGAGCGAGGGCCCTGCGGAAAGGACAGGCACCAGTCACTGCTGCTGGGCAAATCCCTGAGAGGGAGGAAGGTGGGCAGTGAGGGGCAGGGAGACGGTCACCACTAGACCTTCTCATAAACGCTTCTCAGTACAGCCTGGTGCCTTGAAGGCCATCTCTGGGTACTGACTTTGGCCTCTGGACAGCCTGTCCCACTGCCCTAGTCTGACTGATGCAGGGAACGGACAGCTGGTCACCCTAGCTAGATGCTATATGGACCGGCATGAGCCTGGGGAGCAGGAGCAGGTGGAGAGCCACCAATCCAAAAGTCCATTCCACTAGAGCCTTTCTCTAGCCCAGAACACAGAGAAGATGCCAGAAGACTCTCCGGCTGCTTTCCACCATATTGAGGTTGGCAGAGATGGCTAATGGATGGAGACCCTCACACAGGATTGTCCTCCTCTGGACTTCTCATTGTGTGAGGTACTTAAATCACTCTAGAGCTCATGACCATATTTTCCAATCAGAAACCCACTGAGCTTCTGGACCTCACAACTCAGCCTCTGGGGGCACCTGAAGGATGAATGAAAAGCACCTGCTTCAATTGTCACTTCTGTTTTGTGCATGAGGAAACTAAGTTCAGAGTAGTAAAGCCACTTGCCCAAGGTCACCCAGTAAACTCTACAAGTAGGACAGGACCCCTGCTATGCCTGATCCTATAGGTCTAGATTCTAGATACCACCTGACTCTCTTCTTTCAGGGAGACTTCAGGGAAGGCTTAGGTCCAGACGAGGCCCCCCTGGTCACGGTCCCATAGCACAGAGCACTCCTCCTTCCTAATACTTTATACACTTGTCCGCCTTCTCCTTGGGGTCAGGCTGCTTCAGCTGAAGTCCAGGGGCGTCGTTCTTGATCTATACGGTGATTTCCCTCAACTCCGTAGTTTGCAGACTCTGATGACACCCGTGCGTGCCCCCCCAAACCTTTTAAGGTCGCCTCCATCCCCAAGAGCCGGGAGGAGGAGACTGCATGCAGAAGTGGGGGTTTGGCCCCACCTGGGAGCAGCCACGTGAGGCTCTTATTCCTGAGCTGGTGCTCAGTTGTGTGACCACACTTACCTCTAAGGAAGCTGGCGGACGCACCCTGTTTCCAAGAGGAAGTGGGTTTTGGTAAATGTTTCTTCCACTGTGGGGTGGGCAGTGCCCACAGGACACTGGAGCAGGCAACACGAGGTCCCCCGCCACCCCTCCTGCCATCTTGCCTAATGACCTTAGAGAGCTCCCTCGGAGTTGCCTTGGATGCCCACCGGTGTCTGGAAGAGTCGTTCATCCCGGTCACAGGCAGATCACCCCCTTAGAGGCCACCTCCCTCCTGGCCATGCGGGGGCCACAGGTGTGTACAGTGGCCACTGCCTGAACAAGCTTCATCAGCAGACGTCTCTCTCACTCTCCTGGAGACACACGGGGTGTCCTGGTATTTAGCGATACAGGCATCCCCGAGTTTATAGTTCCCCACTGTCACAGCGTGACACCAGCCCAGGTGCCCATCCACAGAGTGAGTTGAGGAAATGTGGTGAGTAGGCACAGAGGAGCTCAGCCAAAACCAACAGGAAAATGATGTCATTTGCAGCAAAATGGATGGAGCGAGAGGGCCTTGTGTTACGTGCAAGAATCCAGACTCAGAAGGTCAAGGGTCATGTTTGCTCTCCTACGTGGTCGTGCAAGAGAAGAAACGGGAAAGTGAACGTCGTGGAAAGAGAAGGGACCAGCAGAGAAAGGGCATCGCGAGGGGGAGGGAGGGAAGGGAGCGGAGGGAGCGAACTTGACCAGATGAGCATGCACAAGCGGGCCGCGGTGAGCCTCACTATTGGGCATAACTACAGTGGACCAATAAAAAAAAATTCAATAAATTTTTTCCTAAAAATGTATATTATGTTGAGGCATAAAGGTTAACAATGAAATTGACTTTTATCTTTCTTGGTTCACTTGTCCACAATAGGGAAATAGAAGTCACAAGATTACACTCACCAAATTCCTTCTTTTTGTAGTTATTCAAAATCAAATTTCCA